TTGTTTGTTTTCTGTATTGCAGGTCATGCTTTTTGTGTTTTGTCTTGATTTCAGTTCCTTCCGGGTGCCAATCATTTTTCTATTCTTCTGTTCCCAGTTGTCTCAAAGTCTAAATAAAGGCTTAGATAACTTCCCCAGCTATGCAAAAGTAGCAAGGAGAGGGGTTGACTGAAGGTCCCCCCTTTTAACTTTACACAATGTAATCTGTTGCTTGAACTGGCATTATTATTATTATGGATTAGACAAGACCATCATGGTTATCATGTTGGAAGTTTTGGCATAGCACAGGCTGTAGGACTTCCCTGAGTTTATGTCTGTTCATGAGTACTTGCTTTCCTTGGCCACAAATCTGTTAGTTTTGTTCTGTGTTGTTTTTGAAAATGATTAACTTTCTGTAATGAACCAAACTCTGCTATCACAGTGACTCTGTAGGCAGTACCTGATTGTATTTGCTAATGTCTCCATCCCAGATCTGAGCACAGCTAATGACTGGAAGGAATGTTGCTGTTGTCCTTTGACCGTTTCTAACAGTGCTGCGACATCTTTAGTGTTTCCCTTGGTAGGGACGGTAGCGTGGAGTTTGTTTAAACATCTCATACGAACAATAATGCTCCTTTTAATGGGGTAGCAGTCTTCTAGTATCAGGCTGCAGAACTAAGTTACTGTAAGAAAGTTGAACAACACCCCGCTTTCTGAGCGTTGAGTGGAAAGTCAACTGACACCTATTGCAAGGGGCTTCTTTTTGTCTCTGGAGTTCAGCTAAGCTGTGTTTTATCAGTCTCACCAAAAAGATGGCAAAGTGTTTTGGCTAACAAACAAATATGCTGTTTAGAAAACACCAACCATTTCACTGTTTGTAATTTTCAGCATCATTTGACTGTATAGTCTTGTAATTAGATGGTGTAAAGTACATAACATGTTACACAAATATGTCAAAACGCATTAACAGTACAAGTGTTCTTTACTGCTTTCCTAAATACGTTTCACAATATGTCGTACTAGAATCCACCTCTTGTCATTATTTATAAACTGCAAAGAAGTTAAGATCACCAAGAATTAGATGATTAGCATGAGACTGTCTTTCTGTACTAAGAATATAGATTATCATGATAATGTACAGAGTGAAGCATACAAATCTCTCCTCATCTAAAATGAGAAGACAGCCTGGAATAAAACCCAACAAATTATGTTTTTCATATTCACTCAGATCAACTTGCTGCTGCTGCTTAATTCCCATTCAGTTCAACTGCTTCTTTGCAAACTTTTGGGTTACCTCCAGACTTTGCATTTGAATGCCTTTTAGGCATTATGTTGCTTTTGAATGGCATTTGGCCATGGTTTCTGACATGTGGGGAGGCCAGCTGCCCACCTGCTTCTGGGAAAGATCTTTTCCATAGAACAAACAGCTCTGCAACACTACCCTGCCGAGGCAACAATTAACTAAGTAGTTTCCTTATAAATGAGAAGATAGGACTTGTGGCTTCCTTAAAGACCATCGTCTGTGCTGAACTTTCAAATGACCCGTAGCAGTATTCCCACAAACGTGTGCTTTGTGTGTGACCCAGAACCAATGGAAGCGGCATTCATTTCAGTATTATCGCTCTTGCGATCTAGGCAGGCCTGGGGACCATGTGTCTTAAGGAGACACTTCTGGTGCGGACCTGTAAGTGAGGCCAACTAGTACGCTTTCCTGCCCGCTTGCTTCTCCCATGGAGACTTGAGTGCTGTTTGCAAACTGAAGTGATGCTGTTGCTGCATCCTACACACGCTTTCCTGCTCTGTGCAAGCTTGGGTATTACTTCCATACACAGTGTAAGCTTTGCAGTTTCAAAGATCTAATCTAATAATAGATTGGTCTACATTTGCTGCGTTGCCAGAAAAAGACATATGTTGTCAGGCAGTCGAAGTCAGGAACAGTGCTGAAGTGGAAATGTGCTGAAACATGAAGAAGGCAGAAATCCAGAAGAATCTATCCAAGGCTTGGCTATTAGAAAAACTAAAAATATTGTCTTCTTACGTATATGCTTTCCACATGTACTTAGAGAAATACTGTTTGCCTGATGTCTCAAAGTGATTAAAGGGTAATTCTTTTCCTTTCTTGGCTTTGGTGTGATAATAGAAGACGCTGTTGGCATTCAGCTTATCGAGAACTGGTGTAAGAGGAAAGAAATTATTGGAATAACTTGAATGGAAGAGGCATGTGTAGTATAGTGCAGGAGAGAAATATGACATTGGGTTCCTTCTGTCACTGATGATTCAAGACACAATTTTTGAGTTGCAGTCACAGTGGAAGTAGATCTTTACGTATCTATGCTGAGGCACAGGTTTTAGTGTAAGGACTTGAGTTTTCGCAGCATGCAATGGTATGAAAATTTTCCATGCCGTATTTTATCACAAAATGTTTGCAATTCCAATTTTTCACTTTTAGATTTTCCTTGGGAAAAAGAATGCATCACTGGCCTAAATAAAGTGAATGTATACCACAAGAACCACTGGTTGTCTCTGTGCTGGTGAAAAGACTTTGCTTTTAAATTCAGACAGCTCTATGCTGCTGACCTTTTACAGAATTGCAGTGAGGTGGGAATTAGGCTTTGAGATGGTATATGAAGATGTGAGGTTTTGACATGCGTTCTGAGCCAGCAATTACGGGATTTCATCTGTACATATCCCTTAAATATCATCACTTTTAGATGTGTGCTAAGAAAATGGCATCTGTCACAATCACTTTTTCTGCTGGGGTCAGTGTGTGCGCACAGACGTGTATTACTGTTCTGGAACAAAATTCCTCCATAAATGCCATCGCAGATCAGGAAAGATTTTTATTTTTTTTTTTATATTAACGTTTCCTCCTTTAAGACCACTAGCTTCTCCCTAGTCAGCATGCATGTGGCTCGGTCGGGTAGTAGTAGCAAAGAATTTTATTTCAGTAACTTCTCCAGGGAATTCATCCACTAAAAAATAAGTACTTATACCTCCTGGGACCCACCTGGAGCAGCATCCCAGCAGTCCTTTTTACCCAGTTTGGATCATCCCTCGCACAGGTAGCATCCTTGTGCGGTTAAGAAGTGAGTGAAAAATTTGGGCTGCTACTGTTTTCTGCTTCTTTGGCATTATTCCTGGAAAGAGTCGAATTAGCTACTGTGACAGCCACATTTACTATTACCAATGACACAAAATAATTAAGTTGTGGTTTCTGTTGTGGTGGGGCCACTTCCATATTTTATAGTGATATGTCTGTGCTAGGAGGGAGAGTGTCATGCTTGATTGTCGTGACGGATGCTTCCAGGAAAACAGGACGAGCCTCTAAAGGCAGGTTGTCTAATACTTTCCATTTACATGGAATCCTGTTGGTTGCATGGCAGATCACTAACAGAGCTGCATGTTGTTTCTTCTAGTTTTTCTGATGAGGTGAGGGGGAGGGCGCAGCCATCTCATCTTTCTCCCTGTTGTTTTTGGAGGGGATAGCTGCAATCTTTGTTCTTTTCAGTCAGAAGAATACTCAAGCCAGTTTTTAGTCTGATTCTCTAATCAAGAGAATGCTTCCATTTTTTGACGTCTGGAGCCACCAGCGTGGGGTTCCTGGCTTTCAGAAGTCCTGGAGACTTTGGGACACAGACGCGCAGCAGTGCTGAGAAGCCCTGGTAGTCCCTGGTTGCCAAGTCCTGCTGAACTGTGCTCCATGAGGGCATTATACTGTGAACACGCTGTGAAATTTGGGGGCCTTAAGAACAATCTTTCTTTTTCCAGTATTTAAATTATTTTCTGTAGGTTGCCTCAGATAAATCTGATAGTATTACAGTGCAACTGCGAAATCCTGCTCTTTGGTCCTTATAGACACAGGCTCTTCCTGTTGCACCCAATTTAGTTTCCTAGAGGGAAAAATTTCTCTTGTGGCTTGGGCAGCAAACACAGTCCATGTGCTCTGGCACACTCCTGGAAAGGCTGGGAGCCCTCGTGGGTCAGGGATGCCAGCCAGCACTGTGCTGATGCTCGACAAGTGCCTGCTCTGCTGAAGGTGAACATGAGCTTGCAAAATGTTGTGCAAACCTTTCTGCCATTGCTGGGGGACCAACTGGATAGAAGCTGGAGAAAGTTTATGGGGTTGTTTGTGGGGTTTTTTTAGTAGATGTTACTGTACATACATTGGTGAGTCAGGGGAAAAAAATTTCCAGCTGTATGCGGTGTTAAACCTTAAGGCTGAGGCTTTTTTTTGTTTGTGTGTCTAAAGTGGTAGAATCCCATGTCACATTTGGTTTGTATCTCATGCTAGAGGTGACATTGTGCTCAGTGCTCAATGAGATGGCGAGGCTGTGCCGCATGTGGCCTGCGGTGTCAAAAGATGAGCACAGAGCAGAACAGAGGCAATAGGAGATTGAGGAGGAGGGAGGCTCGACCTTGTGTTCACGTGCTCGATGGCCACTACCACTTGTCTCTTCGCCTGGAGCTCCCCAGGGAAGGGAGGCATCTACTGAGGGAAGGGGCAAGGACCAGCAAAGGGAACTGGGATGCTGTCTGCTGGTGGGAAAAGGGTCTGAAGCAGCAAGAAGAGATACTGCGGCTTGGTTGAGAGATTAGATGTCAAACCTTGACAAGGGAAGAAACTTCAGTGGGCAAGTAGGGAAGATGGGTGCATGTGTGAACCATGGGAGGCTTTTGCAGGGCATTGCAGTGACCAGTTGGTGAGCAAAGCCTTTTGCTCTGTGTCAGTGCAATACAACAGGTCCTGGGCTGTGATGGGAAGCCTTAAGGGATGTGGTAATTAAGAAAAGTAACTAAGAACTAAGTCATAAAAATAATAAGTGTTTTACCAGCTCCGTTGTGCACAGGCAGGCAGCAGGGAATGTGGGTCACATAGTGTGAGTGGCTGAGCCAGGGATAAAATCCAGGTCTGTTAATGCCTCAGGCCTTTCCATAAACACCAGACCGTGCCTCTCCTCCAACACAGCTTGGGTGGGAAAGGACCTCCGTTTTAGGTGGAAGACCAGGCTTTGCTCAGTCCCATGGCTAATCATGTTCTCCTGCTGTTTGCCTTTCCCAGGTGCAAGTTCTTCAGCCTCACTGAAACCCCAGAGGACTACACCATCATTGTGGATGAAGAGGGCTTCCTAGGTAAGTGTCAACGTGTGCCACTTCAGTATCCAACTTGGGGGTGGAGGAGGAAAATGTGTCACCTCTCGCTGAGATTACAAACCAAAGTGTTTGTAAAATTTGTCAGTGCTAGTAGTACAGCTATGAAAGGTGCTTTGATCACTTAAGCGCGCTGTCTCTGCTGCTGAGCTGTACAAGGCGTTTCACACATGGAATATGAATATATTTTAATGCCAGGAAAAGAGCACACACAAGTCTTAAAGAGCAGCTTAAGTGTATTTGAAAAAGCAAAACCATCTGCATATTGTTGTATTAAAATGAGCTGGCCTTTGTCCCCAAGCCTCCACAAGCACACCACATCTTGCGTCTCCAGCTGGTTCATCCAACCTCTCTCTTTAAAAGGAGCACTTGAAGATGAGTAGTTCGTATCATCCCCACAACCATCACAATTCTCTGGAGTTGAGAATCAGCTCCTTTGGCTCATCACTGAAAGCTGTGATTTATCCCCCTTTCTTACACCCAGCTCTCTCCGTACTAAATGTGCCATCTTTGCACGTGGTGGCTGAAGGTCTCTCTCAGCCTGTGTCAAAGGTGGAGTCGGCTGCATGTCAAAGAAGGTGGTTGGCATGTGCTTGGGAGCTGCAGGCGCTTGGTGTTGGGCAAGTGCTGATGGAGAGAATGGTTTGGCTTTGCTGATGGAAATAGTTTGTAATAACATTTATCATGTGGGGAGGTTTTGTTTGTAGCAGTGTTATTGAGGTAGTAGAATGAGGAAGTGTTGTGCAGCTATTATTATTTTTGTTCAGTCACTGCTTTCTGTGGTTGGAATTAAAAGTCTACACATTTTACCGATTTGGAGAAAATTCATTAAAATATGTAAAAAAGAGGATTTCATTCCTGAATAGGAATTAACTGTCGAGTAACTACCTGTGACACTGTAATATTAAATGGGTTTGTAATATCCAAATCCTAAGGAGAAAATTAGAAACTATACCATCTTTATTTAGTACAGAGTCAAAGTTCAGTAGCATTGCTGAATTATTCCCCTTTCTGTTTCAGGAGTACTCATAAACATATAATAGAATAAATTATTACATTTTAGAACACTACAATGGTGGCTAGACATTTTCATAAAATACTCACTAGGTTGAGAATAGGTGAATGAATCTTTACAGCTATTGCTGTTTGTAATCTGGGAGTTGTAGGGTTTGATTGAAAGTGTATGTCACGTGTTCTGCTTTGGCTCCTAAAAGAGGAGGTGACGTAACAGTTCTTCTGCTAGAATGTCCCTTGTTGCATTTGTTCAGGGGGAGTATGCACAAAAATTTCATTACTACTATTGGTAGTATCAGCTTTTTTATTATTGGTGGCAGCTGGGGGAAATCGATTCAAGTTTGGTTTCGTCGTAATAGTAGGATGCAAAGCCTCCCTCTAAGAGCTTCATTTTAAGAGAGAAGTCACCAAAGGAGGAGAAAGGGGCTGGGTTTTTTTTTCCCAAGGGCCACAGCACGCAGCAGAGCAAGAAACCTGGAGAGTCCCATTCTCAGGAGGGAGTCTGCATCACTGAACCGTGCTGTCCCTGCAGATTTGCCATGCTAGGGGCATGCTCATCTCTAGCATCACATCTGTGTCTGTGACATCCATGGCACTCATTTCTCTGCCCAGTTGGCACAAGGCATATTCCTCAGTTCAATCACTGGTGGCAAGTTTGGATTGCAACCACCCCCGTACAGCCTCTAGCAGCCATGCTATTTGTCTCTCTGGAAATTATTCCAGCTTGAAACAAAGATAAGCTCAAGCAGTGGTTTTGCTCATCAGTAGCGGGGGATTGTGTTGCACTGTGTGTGCCACGGGTTGTACTTGGAGCAAATCCCACGTCTAGCCAGACGAGTGTCCTCAAGGAGCTGCATGTCCCACTGCTGCCCCAGGTTATCTCTGTGAACCAGACAGTGCTGCCGCACTTCAAAGCGGCAGACCTCTCTGCTTGGACCCTTTTGACTATGTTACCTTGGCTCTCATAGGCACATGAATTTACTGCTGATAGTTACAGTACCCGTGTAGCTTCCGTTGGGCTATGGTATTGGCAGCATATAACATCCCTTTTTTTCAAATACGCCGCGTGCAGTTGGGGTGTTGAAGCAGGGCTTTGCAGGAGAAAAGATCACCTTCCAGACAACGCAGGGGAAGGAAGGAGCATACTAAGGCCATCTTCTACGACGGTATGGTGTGGAAGCCAGGCGCATAACCCAGCATGGGTAGTAGTGTCACAGAGCTGGCAGCTTCATCACCTTTTCTTTGCTTTTTGCTAGTAAGTGATGATCTGCTGGCAAGACTTGTATACTTTGCATCCTGCTAATTCTCCTAACACAACGCCCATGCCCTTTGGGGTTGTGTCCAGCCCATGCTCTTCTTTCTGAATTGTCACCACCACATCCAAAGCTTCCTCTCAGGGTTAACCCTGACCACAGTCTCCACTGTTGCTCCATCCCTGTTCCTCGTTTCCATATGCCGTAAGGTTTTCACGATCTGGAGGAATTCAGGATCTAGGATGCCTTGTAACAGCAAAAGGGCTCTGTTTGATTCCTTGCTTCCCCTCACAGTCTGGCTATAAATGTCTCAGGAGGAGGAGTCTCACTTGGCCTTTTTATAGCATGTAATCAGCCCAGGGGCTTGAACAGGATCAAAATCTATAAGAATTGCAGCATCCCACCTTCTTGCAAAACAGCACCAATCACGTCTCCCTCAAGTGCATCTTGACCTGACTAGCAAAGTGCCAGGTTCAGCTCAGGAATTACAGGGTAAATCTTCACCTTTGGTGAGCAGTTTAAGTAGCAAGTCCATCAGCAAGTGACCTTTTTTTTTTTTTTTTTTTCTTCTCCAGGTGACTTTTGTTCTTGCAGTGCTTAACAAACTCAATGTAAGTCTCTGAAGGGCAGGCTTTTGTGTGTGGAAAATTAAGACCTTTCTTGCTCAGGCACCTGTATGAATTTTTGCCGCTGCAGTAGTGAGAAGATTGTCCTGTTAGCTGGCATCTCTCATGTTAGCAAGGCCCCTTCTCCTGCATATCACAAACAGCACTGAAGGGAAAAGAACAAGCTGGAGAAATACTTTCAGCAGTTCTTGGGGTTAACACTTCAAACATACTGACACATAGTAATCATTCTTAACTGTTTTGTCAAAAAATAATCCTCAGGCTTGTTTCCCTGAGAGTAGCAAGTGAGTCGGGCTGGTAAAGAAGTCATTATTTCTTTTCCCCAGAAAACGTCTGCAGTGCAAAGCCATAACCTGCTTAAGCATTCATCGTGCTGGAAGGGAACGGCTACAGCCTAATTCTTTGCTTTAATTCCCCAGCGGTGAGGTGGGGATTATATCTGCACAGAACCTTGTTTGTTCCAGTGGCTGTTTCTTGGGCTTTGGCCTGTTAATGAGGAAGAATTTTATTCAGCAAATAACATGGGGGGACAGTGCACAGAAAGCTCTTTTCCTGGCTGATACTGAGATGAATTAGCAGAAGGGTTTGGCCATGGGCCCTCCTATTTGAAGACAAATGTCTCAGCTACTGGGGTGCTTGGACAGCCATGTAAAATCCTTGCATTTATCACCTGCTGTGCAGCCAGCGCGTGGCAGAAAAGTCAAGTGGCTGCTGCTCCCTGAAATATAGGAATACTTGTTTGAGTTTGGTTTGCTTTTTTCCCAAGGTTTGGCTGAAAGCAGGAGCTGCCTGTGCGTGGAAGCAGTTGCTGACATTGCAGTCCTGTCCTGGAGATGCCATCTGAATAAAATAATGGGGTTTGGGGGTAGCAACGTTCCTCCAGTGGCACTCCCAACAGCTGTCGCATCGCAGTTTCTGTACCATATATCCAGAGAGCCTTTTATTGGAGGTAAACGGGCAGTTTGGGTGTTTGTCTTGTTTTGATTGTCCCTTTTCTGTTCCTGGTTTCTTCAGCTGGTTTGTCTGCAGTCCTATTCATCCTTTTTTCTCTTGGAAGTCCACTACTAGGTTTAGTGATAGCTCTGCTTGGGTAGCTTTCAATGAAATGCCATCCATCTAGCCTCCCATTTTATAGCACTTCTCTAACTGAACAGCACAGTGTGAAATGGAGAACTAACGCCCTCCCTCAGCCACCTTTATTCTCTACAAGCTTAATGAAGGAAGAGCCCATCCAGTGTCATCTATATAAGTTGGTCCAATTGCATGGAGGTGAGAGATGGCTACAGTTTACCCTCAGGTATTTCTTTGTTTCAGTATCTCTTGCATCCACTTGAAATGACGCCAGACTGTTTGATAAGGACCTTCCCAGAATCACCACCACTGCGACCTGGCTATGTGCTAAGGGAAGAGGAGCTCCTCTGTACTATCTTTCCTATGGCAAGGTAGTCTCTTTGCACCTAGAAGGCAACAAGTTCTACTTTTTGAGTTTCTGCCCTATTTATGATGGAAAGAGGACTCTCCCTTTTTGAGACCTCTTACAGGGCAGTGAATGGAGTTTGAAGGCTTCTTTCTCCATTGGGGAGAAAACCCCTAGCCTGTTGCTGCCCCGACCTAGCTGCCTCTGTGACCTTGGCAGCTGTTGAGTTGCTCCATGAACATCTGCATAAATAGGGACTGTGACAGTCTGTCACCCAGGTGAATCCATCCTGAAGATGGAAGATTGTAAGGCAACATGTTGCTACCATTTTCAAGGTGAGATCACTGCTTTCCCAGCCTTGGCACTTGGTTGGTGTCCCTTGCATGTCATCTTTCTCTGTAGGCAATGAACTTAAAAGGTATCAGAGAAGGGGGAAAGAAATCAAATGCTGGGGTCAAGTGAGGAGTGAATCCTTGTGATTTCCAAGTTGGTAAACATGCATATTCTAGTTTCAGGGAAATTGGGGGTGGGTAAGGGGAATACATCACATTCCTGTACTCTGGTCTTCTTTCTCCTAGAACTGGCAAGACCGTTTCATGTAGGCCCCTGCAGTCAGCAGACCTTAGGTCCTGACTGATCTCTTCTGGATTGGAAACAGAGTGGAAAGGCAAT